CGGGCCTGCGTGAGGAGGCTCCGCGGTGAAGGCGGAGAGCACGTCAGCCGCTAGGCCTCGGCCGCGTCCCTGCAGCCACATGGCCTCCGGAGTGGGCGCGGCCTGCGAGGAGCTGCCTCCCGACGGCACGTGTGACGAGTGCGAGCCCGACGAGGCGCCCGGGGCGGAGGAGGTGTGCCGCGACTGCGGCTTCTGCTACTGCCGCCGCCACGCCGACGCGCACCGCCAGAAGTTCCTCAGCCACCGCCTGGCCGAGTACGTCCATGGCGCCCCGGCCTGGGCCCCGGCGGCCGCCCGCGAGGACGACGGCGCGGCCCCCGAAGACGCCGTCGAGGCCAAAGGGGAGCCCGAGGGAGAGGGAGAGGGAGAGGTAGAGAGCGAGGTGGGCGAAGAAGAGAGCGAGTCAGAGGAGGAGGAGGAGGAGGACAGCGGTGAGTCGGAAGAGGAGGAGAGCGAGACCGAGGAAGACAGCGAGGACGAGAGCGAGGAGGAGAGCGAAGAAGACAGCGAGGAGGAGATGGAGGATGACCAGGAGAGCGAGGCGGAGGAAGACAACCAGGAAGGAGAATCCGAGGCAGAGGGAGAAACTGAGGCAGAAAGCGAGTTTGACCCCGAAATAGAGATGGAGGCGGAGAGAGTGGCCAAGAGGAAGTGTCCGGACCATGGGCTGGATCTGAGCACCTACTGCCAGGAAGACAGGCAGCTCATCTGTGTCCTGTGCCCAGTCATTGGGGCTCACCGGGGCCACCAGCTGTCCACGCTAGATGAGGCCTTCGAAGAACTGAGAGTGAGTATGGGCGTTCAGAACATATGTCTAAGGGGGCCAGGACCCCCAGCTTCAACCCAGATAGCGTAGCTGTGACCACGTTCGTTTTCATGTCTCTCTCTTCTCAAAACAAAACAAAACGAGCCACTTGGTTGGGAAGCAGTGCCTACTCCTACCATTTTGGTTGAAATTGTCAAGTTGTCGATGCTCATCTGAGAAAATACAAGTACACGGAAAACCTTGGGTCTGATTTCTAAAAATGTGCAAGTCACTTCTCCCTGGATCCCAGATAGAGCATTCCTTGAGAATTTTGACGCCATTTAGGCCAATTTTCACATCAGCACCATTGTTAGGATCCGTGTTTTGACTTAGGGCTCTTGTTATGGCAACTCTGCCCACCTGAAAATGTGAGAAACCATGATTTTTGACAAAACCAAGTAGCCAGTTCTTGTAGTGAAAAGACTCCGAAAGTGATGATATAGACGGTGACTTGGTGTGTGCTTTGAGTTTCCCTAGGCACTTCGTTTTCAGAGTTAGTAGGAAGGTGTGTAGGTGGAAGGCTAAATTGGGGCGGGACAGAGGTTTTCATGGCCACTATCTAAACTTGGATATATTATCTTGGACCTGTTTTTGGTCAGCAGTAGACATTTAGTAAATATTTGTTGATTGCATTTGGGGTGCCTTTTATGTATACAGTGGATGGCTATGATCAGTAAGAACAGTTTTTCTGTGTGTTGTGGTAAGTGGTGCGAGTTGGTAAATGTCATATTATGGCTGTTTTCCTCAACAGTCTTACAGCCACTGGTCTCAGAATAACTAATACTTTGATAGTGAAAATACTTCGTATTGATATTTCCCTTACTCCTATTTTTTTTTTTTGTAAAATACACATTCAGAAGTGTACAAAATATGCAGTCTAGCAAATAACTACAAAGCAAATACTTGTGAGAGCTCCACCCAGATCAGAAATAGAACATTATTACTAATAGTGACATTCTTCATATCTCTTTCTTGTGTCTTCTTTTGGTAACCATTTTCCTGACTTTTGGGCTAATACTTTTCTTGGTTATCTTTATGTGTTACAGCATTTTTGTGCATTTTTAAACCTGAAATGTATTGTAATACAGTGTTTTGAATTTGATTCAGTTTTTAAAAGACATTTGTGAGATTTGTTCATTTACTGGCTGCGATTTATTTTTCAATGAATTGTATTGTATTGAATTCCATTTTATGGATATGCCGCGAGTTACCATGTACATGAACATTTGACTTGTTTCTAGATTCTGGAATTTCTAGCTGTTACAACTAATGCAGGTGTAACAGGTGCATGTCTGTAATTCAGCATTCCAGAGGTGGATGCAGGAGGATCAGAGTTCAGTGTCGATCTCAAGTCCATAGTGAGTTTGGAAAATCTTGTCTCAAAAACAAAATGACACATCTCCTCAAAAAATAGTGTAGGTACAGGCATTCTTGGTCATGCCTCCTGATAGCCATTTTCCTATATTTAAGTGGAAATAGTACCCAGTGTTACCATCTGTTTTCCAAGTGGTTGTTCTAGTTTGCATAATTATGAAAACATTTCCTGTTGCCCTGAGTCTTCACCACCACTTGGTATTAACAGTATTTTTAATTTTCCCCAGTGTGGTGATTATGTAATGAATGGTGTCATATTGTGGTTTTAATTGCAGTCCTTCGGTTTCTGAGTATCTTTTGTATTTCCTCTTTTGTGATGTACTGTCAGATCAAAAGAGCAAACTCAGGATTAGATTATCTGTCTTTTTCCTCATCAACTTATGTGTATGTATATACATATACCTGTGTGTGTGTGTGTGTGTGTGTGTGTGTGTGTGTGTGTGTGTGTATTGTTTCTCCATTGTTTCTATCCATTTCACCTATCTTCCGTCTCATTTTCCTTTTCCTTTTCTAATAGATTACTAATAGTATGACGCACTGGGTACTCAGTAGATCTGTAAGTATTTATCAGAAGGTGAAAAAGCTGAAGGTAAAGAGGATGACTTGGTATGTGACAGACCCACCCTTAAGTGGCACCACTTTAGTCTCAACTTGAGTATTACTTTTTATTCAGTCTGAGATGGCAGCTCCCTTGTGTACACGTCTTCCTGTTGGCTACTTTAATATCTATAATCTGGGGCTGAACTGTTGGCTGGCAGCAAGGAGCACAGGCACTCAGGACCTCTCTGAGTAGAAGGTAGAGTATAGGCAAAGAACAAAGCTGTGGCTCTGGTATGTGGGGTAGAGATGAGAAATCCAAAAGCCTGGCTCAGGGGACGCAGGTCATGAGACAAAGACAGAGAGGGAGACACTCATTATAACAGAGCTCAAGACAACATCAGTGGGAAATAAAACTTATTTTTTAAAAAAATATATAGTTTTACTTTTTTTGCGGGTTTGAGTATTTAGAAGAGAGATGTGAACAGTTGCTTCCTGGCCTTTCAGATGAGATCAAGTGTAGAGGAGAGTTATAAACAGGATGGCATGTTGTATGAGTTTAGAGAAAGAAAGTGGTTTTAGCCAGAGGCATGACACCAGGAATGGTTTATTGGCAAAAGTGGTATTTGAGGCATGCTTTGAAAGATAGGAAGGAAGGAATGGGTAGGTATGGTATTAGATAAACTTTCTCTGTGCCACCAGAGCAACAATTGGTATGCATTTACTGTAACCCCAAATAATGGTTATTATGTTAGTGCTGGTTCTGTTCCCTCTGTGTTATCAACTTTTCTAAGTCTAGCAGTATATGTTAGTCTTAACTATGTTCCCAGCACCTAGCATAGGGCCTATTGGATAATAGACACACATGACCTACTTGATTTATGTATGATACAAAGTATAATAATTTTATCTAGTAAGGCATTACTGAAGAAGTGATAAAGAGATTGTATTGTAGTATATCAGTATTTATGTTGGGACTCAGTTCATCTATACATGAAGTAATGGAATAACTTGGAATCCTAAACTGGTAGCAGTTCCTATAGGATGGATGGCTATTTCTCCCTCATGTAATTGATGTCTGGATGTCGGCAGTCTAAGATTGGAGGAAGCATGAAGTTTTATTTTGGCTCTTGCCAGCTCCTCTCTGCCATCTTTGTTACAAACTGAGATGGCCACTGAAGTCTAGCCAGCACTTGTAACTTCTAAGATAACAGACATAAAAGTGAGAGATACTCCCCTCTGTTTTAAGGCATCTCTTCAGAAGCATGTATTCCTGCTTAGGTTTCATGGGGCAGAACTCAGTCCCATGCTTTGTCTGAGGGATATGCAAGGGTGGCTAGAAAATAATCATTTCACCAAGCCACAGATGACAAACTAAAAGGTGACATTTTGTTACCAAGGACGAACTGTAGAGTGAATATTGAAGTCTTTGCCCTTATCCTTACAGGTCTAGTTGTGTAATTACGGGCGTAGTTGGGTAATTCAGTCAGCTTCTCTGAGTCTTGGTTTTTTAACATGGGCATAATTATGTCTTCCCTCCCCCCGTCCCTGGGGGTATGGTAAAGAGAAATAAGCTCATACATAGAGCCTAGAACTAGAACAGTGCATGATCTTCTAAGCATCCAGAAACTGATGGCTCTTATTACCTTATTACTATAGAAAGCTATCTGAGGCCGTCTCTTTTCTGAGCCTAGTTCTGGGCAAGTTAGTCTGGTAGCAGTAGATGTTCTGGACACTAAGCTTTCTTTTGTGAAAACTGTCAGCCCCCTCTCCTTCTGTTCTTTCTGCCTGCTCTAATCTGCTAATTTGATAGGCTACTGAAAACTTTTCTTCAGAGACAGGTTCCTGTGTATTTCAGTGTCCTGCTGGTGTCTTATGCATTAGCTACCCAAAACACAGCTGCTAGTCTATTTTGGGTTCATAGGTTTGGCTGTTGTCCTCTTTAGATTCAGTTTTATACTCTGTAACTGTGGAAGCTTTTACGGAAGTTGAGGGATGATGGGAACAATTGATTATTTTCTGGGTAGAGGATAGGCTCAGTTACTCTAGTAGATAGTTATGAAGAGAAGTTTCTATAGACCCCCCTGTTCTTCTAGGACTTTGGGTCTTTATGAACCCTGGCAGGGTATAAGTTGTGTTGAATTGCAGAGTCTGACTTAATAATTATAGAGAGTAAAAATGCTAACCTTTGTCTGAATATGTAAAATTAAAAGATTACAGTTTGTTGAATTTTGAGACTCTTCTAGAGATAAAGGAAAAAGAAAGTAATAGCTGCCATTTATTCAGAAGTTTGAATACATTTCATATGTTTTTACATTTGATCTTTACTCCAGCAGGCGTTGTTGCCATGAGTCCCATTTTACAGATGAGGGACCAGATGTTTAAAGAGGTTTTGCCAGGTCACTCAGTGTCAATGCAGGACCACAGTTTTTACCACAAAGGAGTAAGAGTTTATTCCAGAGCCAATTATGAGTGCCCATTGCCCAGAAACACAGATTCAGGTTACTCTAGATACCTTATGCAAGATGGTGACAGCTTCATGAAATATTTATAGGAACAGAATAGAGAACGTCATAGAGAAAAGTGTCTCAAAATCCATTGGTGGGAGCATCAGGTGCACAGCTACACCTACATCAGGTCTACAGCTAAGTGGAAAGTTTCTGTTGTAGACCTCAGATGCTATTGATAACATTCTTAGCCTTTGGATTTATAGAAATTACAATTTGTATGTTCCAAAAAAGATCTTGCCTGATAGTTACAAGGGTGTTAGTTCAAATACAAAAATGAGCAATAAATAGCTGTTTAAGAGGTTAAAGATAGCACAAAATGATTCAACATTCCAGCTCTCCACAACCACGGGAGTTCTAATGAGTCCATCAGTCTCGTAGAGTATTTAACAGTTGGGGTGTTTTTATTGTTGTGGGCTAACTTTGTTTTTTCTGGGAACTTCAGTTCACAGTACTAAGTAAAAAGAAGTATTTGAATTCAGTTCTGATACCAGAACGCACGTTCTTCCTATTCCTTTTATTCTGTGTGTATTCTGAGTTAATTCTTCTTATTTATGCTTTTTA